AGAGAGAGAGAGATCTATATATCCTTGTGCAAATGTTAAAGAGATACCCTAGGAAACCTAGAAGCAGAATTTCTTAATCACCTGGTGTGTGTATTTTCCATGTTGCCAAAAACTAACAAATTTCTCTGCAGAGTGTCAATTCCTACCCCCACCAGTTGTACGAGGATTTCCATTTCTCTCACACTGTGGACTTTTATTACTACCAGACATTTAAGTGTTTTGCTGAGTTTTGAGTAATGTGAGCATGATGTTATTGTTCTGCTTTGAATCCACAGACACTTCCTTCATGTACGTGATCGCGGGCCTCTGCATGCTGAAGCTCTATCAGACTCGCCACCCGGACATCAACGCCAGTGCCTACTCTGCCTATGCCTCCTTCGCTGTGGTCATCATGCTCACCGTCCTTGGAGTGGTGCGCCCCTTTCAGTCCTTCATTCCAGCTCCCAAAAAGTGCCCTTCTGCCAGCTTTTTGTTGTTGGTTCAGGTGCACAGTGTGGACATGCCACCTCCATGCCCTGTGACACACAGTTGTTATGGGTCCTCTATGGCTCGTAGTGCTCTTCCTTCCTTTCTTAGATGATGACTTCTGCTAATGTACTAGGTAACTGTAAAGCCACTCCTGGAGAGCTGTAGTATGGAGCTGTGGCCTGACACAGGTGAGACTAGAGTACAGATGTCCAAGCTGACTGGAGAGACCAGCTTGAAAGAACAGGAATCACTTTCCAAAATGTATGGGCAAAAGATGATGCTCATGTCCAATATTTTGCTTGTTCAGTTGTTTGGGGCTTAGGGGTGTTGTTTGCTTATTTGTTTTATTTTATTTTTCAGTACTGGAGATTGCACTCAGGGTCTTTGAACTAAGCTATAGCCCTACCCTACTTTTATTTTAAGATCGGGCCTCACTAAGTTGCCTAAGCTAGGCTTGAACTTGTGAGCTTCCTGCCTCAGCTTCCCAGAGCGCAAGACTCACAGGGATGCACTCCCACATCTAGAGTCTCCAGTTATTTGAGGAATGTTGGCCCCAATTTTAAACCTATGGCCACTTTATCCCTGTGGCTTGACCACCTTCCCTATTTCTTTTCTTTCTCGCTTTCATTTAGCCTGGTGACCATTCTTTTCCTGCTCATTCTGAGTAAGATCTCTGTGAGGGCCAGGAAGAGGGCTGACCGAAATGCTCACCTCGCTGTTTCACTCCTTAGGCATACTAAAGAGGCAGCAGCTTTGGTGAGTTCCCTGGTAAAAGCCCAGATCAAAGTGACCTCTCTCTCTGCTCATAGGTGTTTGGCAAAAATGATGTGTGGTTCTGGATCATCTTCTCTGCGATCCATATTCTGGCCTCTTTGGCCCTCAGCACGCAGATCTATTACATGGGTCGTTTCAAGATAGGTGAGTCACCTCTTACACTTCTGTAAACATGTGCCTGAGAAAGCAGGGCTGCCTTCACTCCTACTAAATGAAAGTGCTACTGGTCGCCACGAACACAGCCTCTGAAATCTGTGCTCTCTTTAATCACCTCCCAGAGCTTCCTCTCCCTTATAGCACCACAATAAGCTATCATCATGGTTTGATTTTCACCTGATAAACTCAGCCTCAGAGCTCCTTGTTGCCACCAAACTTTGATTGTTCAACTTTAGAAGGATATGTTTGTCATAGCACTACCACATGCTCATTTAGACAAATATCCTTACATTTGCAACTTTCAAAAGGGAGCTAAATAGCTGTCAAAAATGAGTCATATACTATTACTAGGTTCCAAGGCCACAACTTTTTGAGACTACCTTGTCAGTCTTAGAGGCAGGACACCTGCTGAACTATCTCAGACAATGTGGGCCAACCAGAGAGCAATGAGTGTTCCGTAGAAATCCCTTGGAATCATCATGGGAGGAAGTTCAAGTGGCTTGAGAACATTTAAATTTTGATAATCATTTTAAGGTCCAGGAAGTCAGACTTCAATATTCTTTTATATATTTCAACACAAATAATGATATATAAACATAGCCCTATCCCTAATATTTTCAGGGCCCAGGAGAGAATACCAGTAAAAGCCCACAGACCATATACATGAAAATTTCAAAATTATAAAGCAGACTAAGATCAGTTAAATATGGGGACAGTAGGAAAAAGAAAAAAGAAGGAAAGGATGAAAGATGAATATATTTTTATTACAACCTAGAATGTCCAGGCTCAATTTAGAGTTCTTGGTCCCTTATAAGCATGTCCAACCTGCAGCCTACCTCTTTGGCCCTTTGTTTTCAAATATAATAATAAAATATTTTTAAAAGGAAGCTTTGCAACATGTGCAACACATATATTAGATATATTATGTATCTTATGTGTGACTGAAGACAATTCCTCTTCACTAAGAAAAACAACAAAAAGGAAGAGGGAGCCACACTTGGCCGCACAGAGCAAAGCTGCTCTTCTCACCTCTGGCTCTGTGCCTTTAAATGAGAAAGGCTTCGGCAGCTTATGTTAAGACCCTGTAATAATTTATGAAGGTCCCAACGGGATAAAGGTTGCATAAACAAAGATGAATGGCAGTTTATGCCCAAAAGAGCCATTCACAGACTGCGGGTGAGTTAGGCAGCCGTGAAGATTGCACTGTACATAAACCCAAAGGACAGGGAGAGGAGGTGGCCGCCAAAATGCTTCATGGAGAGGGAGTCACTGCAGCGAACAGAGACCTTCGACTGAGACATGCCCTGCCTCATACCACCATGACAGCACCCAAAAAGTAGCTGCTTCGAGCTCGCTGTCCTTCCTCTGTCCCTGAAGTGTTCTGCTGGGCTCCCCTGTCCCCATCCAAGGACAATAGGGGAGCCCACAGGTGCTGTCAGCCTCTCCTATGTGGTGCAGGAGAGCAGCACCTGGCACGTGGAAGGAGATCTGGAAGATGGCCCGCGTAGAACTATTTTCAAGTTCTACACCCAGGGTTCTTCTCCAGGTAGCCCCAGACTCACCCAAGTAAGAAAAACTTGTGATTTCATTGTGATGATGACTGTGCATTAAGTTAGTCCAAAGGCAGGAAGAGCACAGCGGTCGGCTGACTCCAGCCTTTCCACCCACTTTGTGTGCTGCTTCTTCTTCTAACCATTTGCTCCCTGACTCCCAAGCTGTGGGTGGGAACACGTGGATGCCAGGAGGGCAGTGGTGATGACACAGAGCATTTATCCCTGAATTAGGAAGTGTTGCACCTACACGGACCACCACTGCACCCCTTGGGCCCAGAGCCCTAGATCAGGACCTCAGAGATCACTCCTGAGAGGAGGGGGTGTGAATGAAACAAGAGAAAACAATCTCAATTCACTCTTTGAGAAATAAACTTCTGGATGTTAGAGACAGGCAGAAAGACTCCGTGATGAGCAAACATTTTTATAATTATTTATCATTTTGAGGAAAAAGTGAGATGACCAGTTGTTTACCTGTTTGACTTTCTTCTTATAAATCATTTCTTTCTCTAATTTCTTCTCTGCTCCGACTGATGCAGATGTGTCTGACACAGGTAATGTCCTGCCACCCTTCCTGAGGATGGCTTTCTCCTCACAGCCAGCTGCCTGTCTGCCCCTGAACACCCTCTTCCAGGTTGGGCACATTCTGTGGGAGGAGGGAGGCAGCGAGGGGCCCTTGGTGAAGCTGCCCTCCACCCTAGCTGTCCCCGCGCTCCCTTGGGCTGTCGCATGAGCACGCCTCTCTCTCCCAGATAAATTCCCTGTGGGTATCCAGAAGCAGGGCAGCATTCTCAGCACAGCTGGGACCCACACTCTGAGCAGATCCACTCATGCCTTTGATGTCAGTGATGCAGCTAGCGCACAGAAGGACAGCGCTTTGACCTTGAACTTGGCTCTGTTCATAGAGCACTCACAGCACACACACATAGCATTCCATACCTTCGTTTTGCAGAATTGTATTTTTTGAAAACCTTTCCTGGCTTTTCCTCCCCATTTTCATTTACCTTCCTTTGACATGCTTAATACAGCCCTGGATCCTTTAGTTCTGTTCTTACAAATTCATAATTACACTGAGAAACATAAGTAGGAACATTTGCAAGTTAAGATTTCCAATCCTCTCAAGACATCAGAGGTTTTAAGGTGAACTGACAGGGAACATAACAGTAAACCTTAAACAAAGGAACACAGAATAAGGGTTGCCAGCCACTCGTGTTATTTGCAGGAGGTGTTTATGCCCTCATGCTTGCCTTTCTGCCATCTGATGCATTTGTCCGTGCCAACGGCATGTTTTAAAACATTGTATACACATTAGTTCCATACGGACCACTTCAGCTTAGTCCCAAGTTGTTTCCCAAGATTTATACTTTCTCTGGTTAAGTGTTCTCATCATGCAATCATGTTGTCAGCAGATTTGGGGATTTTCCGACGGGCTGCTATGGTGTTCTACACGGACTGTATCCAGCAGTGCAGCCGACCTCTCTACATGGTACGTGCATGCGCCTGTGTTCCTTGGCATTCTCTCAGAGAGTAGGGGAGCTGCAGGAGGGCCGGACTTGGGGCAGCCACTCAAAGTTCCAAAAATCAAAAGGGACAGATGGCTGAGAGTGGCTGGGGTCCAGCTGGTAGAAGAAGAAGCATGCTACTTCCTCTTTTTTCATAAACACAAACTAAGATGGTCCTGTTTTGTAAATGAAATATTTGGCAGTCTGTGAAGAAGGAGAAGGAAAAGGAGGAGGAGAAGGAGGAAGAAGA